AGGGAGAAGCAGCGGTGCTGAGTGTGAGGCTTCCCGCATGTCTGACCAACACGGTCACCCGTGCGAATGACATACGGGCAGCTAACACTACCCCCACACGCCCCACGCTGAGAAAACCACTCACGAAGCTGCTGGGGCGACGGGGTCTCACTCCGACGCTGCTGCTGCTGCCTCTGGCCACCGCCAGAACCTCCCCTCTGAACAGCTTCACCCCGACTGCCACCACTCCCACTGCCGCCACTACCACCACTCCCACCGCTGCCACCACCACCGCCACCAACGCCCCCGCTCCCGCCACCACTCCCACCGCTGCCACCACCTCCACTACCTCCACCACCTCCACTGCCGCCCCCACTACCACCCCCGCTTCCACCTCCACTACTCCTGCCACCCTTGCCCTTGCTGCTGCGGCGCTTCCCACTAGCAGAAGCAGCCCCGACGTCCTCAGCACCAAAGACGTCAACAACAGCAGCAGAGGCGTAGGAGGGGGCAAGGGGGGAGGGGGAACACCCTTCAAAGAAGGGCGTGCGAGGAGTGCCACGAGCGGCGCCTACAGCGACTACACTAGTCTCAGCTGCAAGGAGGTGCTGCTCGAGCAGGTCAACAGTGAGGTCTGTGGGGTCAAGTGCGAGAAAGTGGTCCTTGACTGCGTGAAGAGATTCAGGGAGGCGGGTGACTATGAAGTAGAGAGTGATGTACATAGGGGGGGGGTTCCTGTCAAGGAGCTCTGCTGGGAGGGCAGAGCGGTAGCGAGCGTCGCTAGTGCGAAGGTGGGTAACGAGGTCAACGAGGTCCTCTACTGTGGCAAAGGCGGACAGCTCGGGAAACAGGTAGGGCAGTATGAGATGGCCTAGAGCAGAAGTGGCAGGGGAGGAGTAACAGACGACTACAGCGTCGTACAGTGCTTTAGCAGTCTTGTGCTGTCCGAAGTGAGCGCATTCGGCTAACGGCAGGTGGTTGCGAATGGCTAAGCGAACATCAGCGTCACGGGTAAGCCACTGTGAGCGAGTCGCACTGTCAGCTGTGGCGGGAGGGGCGAGAGAGGCTCCAGACGTGTGGTCAAACAACGAAACGCTGTCTCTAGAGTCGCTCAGTAGGTACAGCTGTAAGTCGTCGAGCCACGTGTCGAGCTGGATCGGACGGCCTTCATGATCGAACGTGAGTACACGGAGAGAAGCCATAGCGGGCAGAGCAGGGTGGCGTGATACCAGCAGAGCAGCACGCAGGTAGGGCAGGGCGGCGCACGGCTAGGGTGGCCAGCAGCAGGGCGGGCACGCAAAGGGGCGGCGAGCGGGCTGCCGAAGGGCGGTGCGCAGGCTGCAAGGGGCGGCGAGCGGGCCGCAAGGGGCGACGAGCGAGATGCAAGGGGCTGCGCGCAGGTTGCAAGAGGCAGCTAGCGGGCTGCCAGGGGCGGCGCGCGGGCCGCAAGAGGGCGGCGAGCGTTCTGCAAGGGCTGCGAGCGGGCGGCGAGCAGGCTGCAAGGGCGGCGAGCGGGCCACAGGCAGGCAGCAAGTGGGCTGCAGGGGCGGCAAGCGGGCCGCAGGCAAGCGGCGGGCGAGCGGCAGGGGCGGCGAGCGGGCCGTGAGCAAGCGGCGAGCGGGCCGCAGGCAAGTGGCGGGCAAGTGGCAGGGGCGACGAGTGGGCCGTGAGCAAGCGGCGAGCGGGCAGCAGGGGCGGCGTAGCAGGCCGCAAGCTGGTGGCAAGCGGGCTGCAAGGGCGGCTAGCGGGCCGCGAGCAAGCGGCGAGCGAGCCGCACTGGCGGCGAGCGAGCCGCCAGGGGCGGCTGGCGGGCCTACGGGGGCAGCGTGCGGGCCGCAAGCGGGCGACGCGCGGGCTGCAGGGGCGGCGCGCGGGCCGTGAGCAGGTGGCGAGCGGGCTGCAGGGGCAGCGCGCTAGCTGCAGGGGCGGCTCGTGGGCTGCTAAGGGCGGTGCGACGAGCTACTAGGGGTGACGCGACGGGCTGCTAGGGATGACGCGATTGCCAGCAGGGCGACGGGTCTTTAGGGCAGGGCAGTTCGTGGGGCAGCTCTGTGTTGGGCCCAAAAGAAATTCGGTCCTAAGGAAGGACCTGCTCTGAAACCATGTTAGAAACTAGAACGAGAATGAATGCATTGAAAAGAAGTTGGGTACAAGTACTAACACTAATTGGGTTGTACCCCTTATGGTCTACCCCACTATAGCCTACACAAAGTTAGCTTTATAATATTCTGACAGAAGTACCGCCTGTGTGGAATCATTCGCGACGAATATTTCTACGCGACAAGTAGTCGTATCGAGTTCGAAAAGCTGGCGATGAAGGTAATAAAAACAAATCGCAGCAACACCCACAAGAAAATCCGTTTCTATGCATGGGGTGCGGGTGGGTTGGTGAATGAGAGCAAGTGGCCGTTGCTAGCGGTGGAGCAGATCATCCCGTCGAAAAAACGCGATGAAGCGAAGTGGCTGGAAGACTTCAAGCATGGTGAGCAGCTCGGTTTAAATGTTGTATGTTTGAATATTGATCAAGACCTCACTAATCTAAATGTTGTTTTATGTGCAGTTGTACTAGGATATTCGTGGCATGTTAACAGCGAAGGGATTCCCTTCGCCAACATAGCATTTGAGAAGGCAGCTCTGGCTGCATTCTCTATTGTGACGTCCAATCTGGTCTGGGTGAAGATTCCCATACTGGCTTACCTTTGTGTTATGGTAAGTGTCTTGCTTAGCAGTTTTTACATTACCTGTAAATAAAGCAATAACAACTTATTCGTTTCGTATGCATACGTGCAGGTTGAAGCCCTCCTGAAAAGCTACAGGCCGGGGAATGGCCAGCCTTCATTGGGTGGTGTTCAGTCGACCAACAGTAACTACGTCCGTGCCAAGACTACTGTTGTTGTGGCGGCTCTGCACGAGGCGTGGCTGAACAATCCTGCCTGCTTGAAGCGTGATGAACCCAAGGGTTTGGAGCTGGGTTCAGGGAAGGAGCGGATTCTGATTGAAGGATGGGAGCGTGTGTTTCTGTAGTAGTTTCCTGTAGGTGTGTATGTCGTTTCTGATTCCTAATGAATGACATAATTTAAGAAATTAATCTTCTATATTAATTATTAGTGAACCCTCTTTCGGAATATATTTATTACGTTCATTAGCAAATGCAACCGTATTACCATTTGGTGGATTCGTAGCCAGGTTATATTTGAACTCTGTAACAAATCATGTTACCAGGTTACTAGCACAATTTAGAAATGTAAATCATAAGTGAAGAAGGCTCCGAATACACGAGAGGTAACTGAATTTGTTACGTGTAACACACTGGTAACAAATTCTCCTCTTTTTTTTTCGCCTCGGCTGATGACGCGATGGTAAAGCGACACCAACCACGGTTGATGCAGGGGATGTCACAATAAACTAGGGTGGGTGGAAATCGAGCACTCGATACTACTAAGTGTGGGTACTAGGCAACTTATCGGAATGTATGACAATGCATACGAGGTCACTGTAGCACAATTTTCGCGCGTAAACGGTGATCATGACCCCCCTCTGTTTTCAATGTACATCGGGCAATACCCCTGGTCGTTTATTGGGGTGGGAAGAAACCACAGTCCGCACGTAGTATGTGCCAAGCAAATCGGCGTTTACAACCCGATGCTTCCTTCACATTCTTCTGATGGTAATGCATGTAGAGGCACGGCCGTACGTACGTACATTCTCTCCAGTTCTCTCACAATCCCTTGTCACATCTTGACTCAGTGATAGTAGTCTCGTCACCCATCTACGCACTCCCTTTTCGCCTCCTCACCCATTTCCGTCTCTCCCCATTTCCGCCACTCCCCTCTTATGTCAATTCCTTCTTGCGTCACTCCCCGTTCTCTCCTGCCCTTCTCCACCCTCCCCATTTCCGTCCCCCACCCTTTCTCGCGGTGATTTTCCTTCTTGGGTGTAGCCACTTGGCAGTGGCCACGTCAGGAGGTTTCAAGACATTCCACTGTGCTGACGTGGCGCAACCCGCCGTAAGCCACCTGGGCGTGGGCCCAATAAAGATCGCGGAGCTCACTCTCGTGGCGCAACGCCATTGGTCGCATTTGCTGGCACAGGAGACACGGTAGCTCCCCTTCTCCTCCTCCCTCCTCTTCTCCAGGTTATTCTCTACGCTCCCCCCTCATCACTGCCTTGTGCATCACTGCCATGCGCATCACTGCCATGTGCATCACTGCCATGCGCATCACCACTCAATAACCACCCTGCTACCCGCTCTCGTGTTGCATGCCCCAGTACTGAAGGCTATCAGTGCATGACGCCACTCCCAAGGGTGTTGCTGCCGGCTTCCCTCTCCTGCTCTCCCTCACAGTAGCCCCTAACCCCAACGGTGAGTTGACTTGCCACCTGAATGACCAACAAGCAACGTGACCAACACTGGTGGATGAGTGCTAAGTTATTGCTGCTTGCCATATAACATCCAAAATTGTTTGAAATGAACCCTGTTTGAATCTAACATTGTTAAAAAATCGAACCCTGTTTGAAGTGAACACCGTTTGGAACGAAAACTCTCAAATGAACACTGTCTGAAGCGAAGACTGTGAATCAAACACTGCTGAAACGAACACTGTATGTCTAAAGCAAACACTTTTTGAAACGAATACTGTATGAAGCGGACGCAGTTTGAAACAACACAACACTCTTCCCATAGGCCTATCGTCTGTCTGTAACCAACATTCGAAAGCCACAAGGAACCTTTGGTCTGTTGCATGTGCACAGACGAATGAAATACATGCACCCCCCTTTTGAAGGCACTCAAAGGCCACGGGTGTCTGAAGCAACAAAGCTAACTCATCTGCAACCCCTTTCCCCCTCTCATTCTCCCCTCCCCTCCCGCTCTGCCTCCCAGGCATCTGTTCCCTGAGCAATCTCTCCCCTCCCCCTATTTCCCCTTCCTATTTCCCCCTGCCATGTCCCCCACGCCATTTCCCCTGTGCCATTTCCCCTGGCGTTCTCCCCTCCCGGTCTGAATCCCAGGCATCTGTGCCCTAATCCCCCACCACCACCACCTCTTCCTCCTCCTCCTCCTCCTCCTCCTCCTCCTCCTCCTCCTCCTCCTCCTCCTCCTCCTCCTCCTCCTCCTCCTCCTCCTCCTCCTCCTCCTCCTCCTCCTCATCAGTATCGGATCAGGGCGCTCTGCTAATTGTGGATCTCATTTCTCTCCAAGCCTTTGGCCAAGTGAGTTGGCTGCTGCTGCTGCTGCTGCTGCTGCTGCCGCCGCCACCGCCGCCATTGCTGTTGCGGCTGCTGTTGCTATTGCTGCTGCTATTGCTGCTGCTATTGCTGCTGCTATTGCTATTGCTGTTGCTACTGCTGTTGCTACTGCTGCTGCTACCGCTGTTGGTCTTGTACAGAAGTTTGCGTATAGCGAGGCCTACTAGAACCGGGATGCGTAGTAGGTAATCATCACGAGCTTCTAGAGCCTCGCTCCACTCTTGCTACTTGCTCAGCCCATTCCGAAGATTCTTCCGCCGCCACCTTTCTGTAATGTGCTTGAGAGCTGAAATCTGGTGTTGAGCGGCTTTGAACGATTACCCTCGGTATGAAAAGGTTTTATATGTAATGCAGTACACAACATTATTGAAGCAACATCGACAGTTATCAGCTCAGCCTGTCCTGGCCTACCCTAAACCCAAACATTTGTTTTCTCCAAAGGAGGGCCAGCTTACAACCTTCACACCTCTCATATCATGTCAAATTGCCTTGTTTGATTGGGTGTAAAAACGGTCATTACATATTCTGCAACAGCAATATGCACATCTGAAGCAAGGGGAGTGAGTGGCACTGCGAGCAGCAGTGATGGGCTGGCTGAACCCCCTCAACCGCTCACGTAGCAAGGAGAGCACCACTCACACGTATCTCTGGGCGGGGAGAGGCGGGAGGAAAAGGGATGGGAAACAGGAACGTGGATTTGACACTCAGGAGACTGTGAAGCAGTAACAGTGCCATGGTCAAATGCATTTGGCGGGAGGGGAAAAGGAAAAAAGGGTGTAATTGGTACTGCAGAGGGTGAAAGAAAGAAAGATAGAGTCAAAACATGCCCTTCGCTTGTAGTGTGGACGCCACGGTCAAATGCATTTGGCGGGAGGGGAAAAGGAAAAAAGGGTGTAATTGGTACTGCAGAGGGTGAAAGAAAGAAAGATTGCGTCAAAACATGCCCTTCGCCTGTAGTGTGGACTCTGCTTCACATTACAACAGAGGGTGACAGAGGCCTCGGAAAGCAAGACAAGACTTGACCTCTCGACAGCACTGCTCAGCACCACTCAGAAACGTTCCAGAAGACACAGCACAGTTCTGGACCGCAAAGGACCACTCACTTAGAGTGGCTACTGGCAAGCAGAGCCCTCAGCAGCGGCAGCAGTTGCAATGCCACCTCCATGCCTGCCTGCTGCCCACCGACACCAGCCGCCTGCCTCCCTGCATGGCCAGCATCTCCCTCCTCCACGTCTGCCACCACCTGAGACACGGGGGTAAACATGAACAGCAACCAAAACAATGCTCCCCCATCCCCACCGACACCAGCCGGCTGCCTCCCTATATGGCCAGCACCTCTAGTACGTCTGCCACCACCTGAAGCACACAAGATTGAGGAGAGGCAAAGGAAATGAAGGCACGGAGGGAATTTGAGTGGGCCCCTCAGCAGCAGCAGTCCACACCGACACAGCAGCCGCCTGCTTCCCTGCATGGCCAGCACCTCCCTCCACCACGCCTGCCACCACTTGAGGTATGGTGAATAAGGAGGGACAACGAGAATAAGGAGGAAGTTGAGAGAGCCCTCAACAGGCGCAAGGCCCCTTCCATTCCCACTGACACCACCGGCCTGCCTCCCTGCATGGCCAGCACCTCCAACACGTCTGCCACCACCTGAGGTATGGGGGATGGGGAGCAAAAGAAAAGAGTGCAACTCTCAACTCTCAGCTCTCAGCAGGGTAACAGCTGCAAAGGCTCCATCCATGCCCACTGACACCACCGGCCTGCCTCCCTGCATGGCCAGCACCTCCAACACGTCTGCCACCACCTGAGGTATGGGGGATGGGGAGCAAAAGAGAAGAGGGGAACTCTCAACTCTCAGCTCTCAGCAGGGCAACAGCTGCAAAGGCTCCCTTCATGCCCACTGACACCATCCACCTGCCTCCCTGCTTGGCCAACATTTCTTGCACGTTTGCCACCACCTGAGGCATAGAAGCTTTGTTTAGGCGAGCTGCAGTCTAGTAAAAATCTTTAGCAAGTGATAGACAGTAGTAAAAGTTTGACCCTGTTAACAACCAGGAATATGAAAACCGAACTCTTATTCCACTGGGACAGGCCCCAAGTCAAACCTTCATCAGCGCTAGCAGAATGAAAGACAAGAGTGGGAACGAAGCCCTTAAGTAAGAACTACGTTTCGAGAAACCAGAAATCTAGGCGCGTAACAACCGTGGCTGAAATCTGGGCAGCCAATCCAGAGCACCCTGGAAAAAACCGAGGGGCTCGGGTCTTCATTCCTCAAGGCGTAACGTGGAAATCTCATTCTTCGCCAACTCGCGCGAACAAGTAACTTTTGCAAGTTACACCCAGATTTCCAAGCAACAAACATTCTCTCTGTATAAAATCCGCGTGAAAGTAATCTAGTTTTGAGACGTCTCAAAACTACCCCTAGCCCGAGCCGAGCCGACACAGGTGTGTAGGTCGTCTTCAAGACTAGGGGTCCGCGTGTAGAGGGGAGAGAGGTGTGTCGCAGAAGCTGGTTCGCGAGAGTGTCGGAGAGGAGTGGTGCACGATGTGCAAATAGGACGCCCTTGAAGATCGGTCGAAGGAAAACAGGGGGGTAACCACGATCACGAAGGCGTTGGAAGAAGGCGCGTTTCGTTGCTAGGAAAGTTGACACCGAGGTCGGGCGTAGCAGGTAACGCTTCAGTTCGGCGCGGATGAAACTCTCCTTGCAGTGCCGTGGGTGGAAGGAGGAGAAGGGGAGATAGAGGTACCTATTCATCGGCTTCTGAAAAGTACCGAAGTCTAGGATACCACGCTCAGTAAAACGTGGCCCTTTGTGGAGGACCATGTCCAGAAAGTCAACCGAACGCTCCGAGATGTTCCACGTGATCCTGATATTCAGATCCAAGCCGTTGAAGGTGCGCAGGTACTCCTCTAAATCTAACCGCGACCCTGGCCAATTGATAAGGCCATCATCGATGTAACGGACGTGGTAACAAGGTGACACCCCGGTCCACCTCTCCTTTAACAGCTCATCGAGACGGCTCATGAAGAGTATGGCAAAACACACTGCTACAGGAGTTCCCATTGCAGTGCCCTGCACTTGCTGAAACACTTCGCCGTCGAACTCTACGTAGGAGTTCCTCATGACCCAACCCAGTAGAGCCATAAGCGGTTGAGAAAGCTGCGTGTTGTCTCTCGTCAAAAAACTGCTAACTGCGTCAAGTCCTCAATCTATAGCTATGCTGGGGTAGAGCGAGGTCACGTCGTACGTCACTAGGAGAATGTTAGGTGGAAAGGCTGTAGTCTCCAGCTTCGCTAGCAGTGAGAGAGAATCGCGCAGGTAGGTGGCTCGTTTTAAGACAAGCGGTCTTAGTTGCGAATCCAACCAACGACTCGCATTAGTAGTTACCCATGAGTGTGAAGCAGCGATCGGTCGCCCCACAGGTACTTTCTTATGGAGTTTCGGAAGAATGTAGAATACCGCTGGGCGCCACCCTCCTGGAGGTTTATCGAAAAGATATTTCCAAAGACTGTCTGGAAAAGCAGGTCCCCACGTCGCTTTCAGCTCCATCAGCTGCTGCAGAACTAACGGACTCGGATCGTGACAGAGAGGACGATAGACTGCTCCGTTGTTCAAATGTTCCATGCACAAAGCGACGTAGTGCTGTCTGTCCATGACGGTAATTCCGATGTTCTTGTCGGCCGGCTTAATGATGATGTTGCTGTTGAGCGACAGGGAGCGTATCGCCATACGCGCACTCCGTGGTAGGTTCTGCCCGCGCATGGGCCTACACGCTTTCAGTAGGAAAGATAGGTCGGCTTGCGCCTCCTTGAAGACTTGCTCCGGGACCACGTCCCGATCGGGCCACCAGTTAGGATTCTTCACCCGGAAACGGGATGAAGCCGATGACCCTTTATCCTTGAAGAAAAATTCGAGAGAGATCTGTGGATGCAGTTGATGCAGGTCTGCTTCGATGGAAAAGTTCCAGTTTGGCGTAGGTATGAACTTCAGCCCCATCCTGAGCACCTTAGTTTCGTCATGAGACAGAACCTTAGCGCTCAGGTTGTGCACCCCCCGATTCCGAACACGCGACTGCGCTTGTCGTACAGTCAGTCGCCCGAATCGGCGGAGTGCGATGTCCCGAGCAGTTAGTTCTTGCGCGGCCCTTTTCCTAGGCCGCCGCTGCCGTTTTTTGGAGCTTGAACCTTTGTCGAGGTAGCTTGTTGGTTCTTCCCTCCGCCGTCGCCTGAAGATTTTGCTTTCTTTTTTCCTTTCCCGCGTTTCCTCGTCGCCTTCGGTACATCTGTCTTGGAGCCGGAAGATTTCCGGTCTTTGGACGGGTCCGCTTTAGGCTTCAAGGTCGCGGGGGCCGGCTTAGAATCCTGCGATCCCATCGACAAACTCTTCTTAAACTTCGCAGTCAGCTTCGCTTCGACGCTCGCCGTAATCTCCTTGCGCATCGTCTCCGCGTACTTCTTAGTAGCTTGTAGAACGAGCTCGTTGATCGCCGGGTCCGTTTCCAGGTGGTCCATCTCTTCGGCGGCGGCTGCTTTCTTCAAATCATCAGCTTCCTTGATCCTCTGCCTCTCCAACTCCCGGATGATAATATCGTCCTTGGCAAGCGCGATCTCCGACTTGGCCCGTTCGATGCAGACACCCTTGATCTTCCGATATCGTTCCCTAGCCGCATCAGATACGGTTAGTTCTGGGTCAGCAGTAAGGCCTTGTATGTAGTCTTCGAGCTTAGTCGCCAGAGTGGTGAGGTGTGAGGAGGATGCCGACAGAATTTCCTCGACCTCCAACTCCTTATACGCAATGAAGTCGGCCTGAATGCGCTTCTGGTTCTCGAAATGAACCGAGGCGACGGACGCAACAGAATTTTCCCGCGTGGTAGGGTACTTGGTCTGAAATTCCACGGCCTTGGTGCGAATGCTGTGTAAGATCACACCTTGGTCGTTGAGCGTCTTCATCTTTTTCAGTTTCAACTTCGCCTTGAGGAGTGCTTTGAAGTCAGTTCTGAAGCCCCTGACGGTCGTCGTAGTCCAACCTTTAAAAGGTTCCGGAATGGTGAAGGACGTGTCGACGGCGATCGGGTTGACAGAAGCAGCAGGATTCGCATCCGCAACTCCGTCATTCTGAACTTCCATCTCAGCCATGGCGGGAGAATTTTCAGCTTGCTTGTTGTGCTCGTCGTCCTCGTGGATTGTCGCAGGAAGCGCAGGAACTCCTTCAACTTTACGGGAGCGCTTGTTGGCGCGGTTGTAACCCGTGTAAGTCTTCGGGAAAGGCTCTGCTCCACGGGGAACTAGTGCGAAACTCGATTTTACCAGACCGGCGTCACCCGTAGAATTTGGGAGACCCCTAAGAACCGTCAGCCATAGAAGCTTTGTTTAGGCGAGCTGCAGTCTAGTAAAAATCTTTAGCAAGTGATAGACAGCAGTAAAAGTTTGACCCTGTTAACAACCAGGAATCTGAAAACCGGACTCTTAGGGTACATTCCACTGTGGACCATGTCCCAACCCAATCGATGTGTCCGAATCGATTGTGACGCGTACGTACAGCATATGCTGCCAGGTGTCAGAATGCCGGGCCGCCCGTGGTTGTCGCCAAATGTATTTATCATTGGGTGACGTGAAACACGGAGCAGTCGCCAGCTAATTGCAACACATTCCATCAGTCGCACGCGGTGCCAAATGTCAACACATGCAGCATGTATCTAGACGACATCTCCCCAAAACCCACTATCCCCATAATTGTCGCGCGTCTGTACAGAGTCGCAATACATCGATCGATTGGGACATGCAAACTCGAGACATTTGAGCGCGACTCGGGCAAATCGTGATTGGGACACATCGATTGGGACATGGTCCACAGCGGAATGTACCCTTATTCCACTATAGGATTAAAACGGCCCTCCTCCTCCTCCTCCTCGTCATCCTCCTCTGCTCCCTCGCCCTCAATGGCGAACTCTGCAACACGTGCTGCAAGGCTGTCTGCTGCAGAGCAAGATCCTCCATCCACAGTGCTGCCAGCCACCATCATGGCATTGAACTCACAGCAAGGTCCTTGGAGGCGACTTTTGAGTCGACTCAAAAGTCAAAAGTCGAAAGTCACCTCTTGAGTCGACTCAAAAGTCAAAGGTTCAAAGTCACCTCTTGAGTCGACTCAAACGTCAAAAGTTCAAAGTCACCTCTTGAGTCGACTCAAAAGTCAAAAGTTCAAAGTCACCTCCTGAGTCGACTCAAAAGCCACAGCGTCGCCACCATCAAGGCAATGCACTCACAGCAAGGTCCTTGGATGCGGCGAGGGCAAAGAGGGCGAGCAGCAGCGCTCCATCCCCCCACAGCGTCACCACATGCTGCACTGCAGAGAGCTGCCCCTGCAGCATGTGCTGCATGGCCGTGTGGCGCCCATTCACACTCTCCATCAACATCTTGTCTTTCTCCTCCTCGTCTTGCTGCTCCTCGTCCTCCTCCTCGTCTTGCTGCTCCTGCAGCTTCGATGGTAACGAGGGCTGGGAGAAGGGGAGGGAGGAGGGAGGAGAGAAGAGGGGTTGGGCGGGACAAGGTAAGGGTAAGTGCGTTGGTCACTGCAGCATGTGCTGCATGTGCCGCATGTGTGTCTATCCCCTCCCACTCCTCTCCCCATTGTATCTAAACTCCCCACCCACTTGCACTCCCTTTCACTCATGCTAACTCATGCACGTTCACTTTCATAGACCAATGCGGACCGTTCTATAGGTGTAATGAATCAATTCGGACCGTTCCAATGCGGACATTTCCATTCACCCTGGACCACTGGGGACAATCTCTAGGTGGGAGGGGGAGCGCTCCCTCAACATTGTTACTCCCTTAATCCTTGAACTCCTCTCCTCTCCTCTCCTCTCCTCTCCTCTCCTCTCCTCTCCTCTCCTCTCCTCGCCTTCTATCTCCCCATCCTCTCTCCGCTCACCTGTGCGAATTCTAGTTCTGAGGCGCCTCAAAACTGCACTCCCCTCCTCTCCTCGCCTTCTATCTCCCCGTCCTCTCTCCGCTCACCTGTGCGAATTCTAGTTCTGAGGCGCCTCAAAACTGCACTCCTCTCCTCTCCTCGCCTTCTATCTCCCCGTCCTCTCTCCGCTCACCTGTGCGAATTCTAGTTCTGAGGCGCCTCAAAACTCCACTCCTCTCCTCTCCTCGCCTTCTATCTCCCCGTCCTCTCTCCGCTCACCTGTGCGAATTCTAGTTCTGAGGCGCCTCAAAACTCCACTCCTCTCCTCTCCTCGCCTTCTATCTCCCCGTCCTCTCTCCGCTCACCTGTGCGAATTCTAGTTCTGAGGCGCCTCAAAACTCCACTCCTCTCCTCTCCTCGCCTTCTATCTCCCCGTCCTCTCTCCGCTCACCTGTGCGAATTCGTCCACATTCACTTTCATAGACCACTGCAGTCCGCAGCATTTTTCTATAGGTGCAACAACCCCGTTGTTCCCTTACCCTCCCACCCCTCTCCTCTCGCCGCCTTCTCTCACCCGTCCTCTCTCCTCTCACCTGTGCGAATTCGTCCACATTCACTTTCATAGACCACTGCAGAACGCTCCCTGCTGCTGCCCTTGCTGCCCGTTGTTGTGCCGCTACCACCGCTGATGCTGCTGCTCTGCCTTGCACTGCTGGCACTTGTGGCACGTGCACCTGTGCTGACTGCACCTGTGGAGCCTGAGAGCGTGGGGACAGAGGACACAAGCTAATGCCTCTACCCTGCCTCCTGCTCCCCACCCCTCCCATCACTCCAGTCAGTATCAAATCCCCCGCTCCTCCTGCTCCTCCTGTTCCCCCTCCCACTCCCACTCCTCTCACTCCCTTGTCCCCCCTGCTTCTACCTTTCAAGACAACCGGAGGAGGAGGGAGAGGAGGCGGAGGCAGAGAGGGAGGAGGCGGACGAAGAAGCCAGCACTGCTGACTCACATGCACCGCCACGTGCACCGCCATACTCTCTACAAGCATCCTCTCTAACAACTCATGCGGGGAACGACGCAGAAGCAGATGCAGAAGCCACCAAGCCAATGCCCCTATCTTCACACTCCCTCACTCTCTCTCCCACAGATCCATGCCTCCTCATACTGTCACCATCACCTCGCACATAAGGTTGAGTCATGACCTCTCCACCAGCAGCAGTGCCCCCAGCTCCTCCTTATCCTCCCCCTCCTCCTCCCCTCTCCATCCACAGCATACAGGGCTCGAAGGCTTGGCACCGATGCCTTATACCCCACAATCGCAACACTAACAGCAGGCCCATCACTCCCAGCAGCACCATCGCCCTTCCCCTCCCCACCGTGACTCTCACCCTCTCCCTCCTCGTCCTCACTCCACCCACTAATCTGCCCCGACCCAACTCTATGCACCCCAGCTTTTCTCCCCTCCCCACTGCCCTCGCTCCCCTCATTCCCCGCATCCCCACCTCTGGAGATGCGGGTGTGCGAGGAGGAGGCTCCATACAGACAGCCTGCCCTCATGGGTGCTGACGTCAGCTACCTTGGACCATCCCACGCTGTCCGTGTGGGAGCAGTGCCCACACTCCTACCCCCACACCTGCGGATGGGAGGAGGGGAGAAGCAAGCGGGAAAAATGAATGCCAACGCATGGAGAAATCGCTTGGTAAGTGCAAGAAGAGGCAAAAGACACAAAGGAACAATGACAAGTCAAACGATCTGGCGACGAATAGGTAGCCTTTGAAGACCCACCCACGAGGAGACAGCTTGCAACAGCAGCACAATACGCACCTTGAGCGAGGCGTGCAGCGCACAGCAGCAGAGCAATCGCAATGCGGGCAGCGGGCGGCATGTGAAGGGGTCACCTTGAGTGAGTCCGCGGAGGGAGGTAGCAGCGCGTGGCCATGGGGAGTGAAGGGCAGCGAGAGCATGGCGTTGGACTGCAGGAGATGCAGACAATAGAGGCGCATGCATCGCACAGGCGCCAACAGCAGAGGCGAACAGCAGAGAGGAACGGCAGAGGCGAACGGCAGAGGCGAACGGCAGAGGCGAACAGCAGAGATGAACGGCAGAGGCGAACAGCAGAGGCGAACAGCAGAGATGAATGGCAGAGGCGAACAGCAGAGGCGAACAGCAGAGGCGAACAGCAGAGATGAACGGCAGAGGCGAACAGCAGAGGCGAACAGCAGAGGCGAACAGCAGAGATGAACGGCAGAGGCGAACAGCAGAGGCGAACAGCAGAGATGAACGGCAGAGGCGAACAGCAGAGGCGAACAGCAGAGATGAACGGCAGAGGCGAACAGGGGGAATACCTGCCAGTCGCTCTCTTTAAGGTCGTCGTAGTAACAACCGCGTCACTCTTTTCTGTAGTAGTGCAACTATGGATTCGCCAAGCAATGGCTCGTCTAACGTGGATCCGTTATCAGTCCGCGTCGCTGTTCTGGACTCGCCAGACGTCGACCGCCTTCCACCGATCCACACACTACCCGACGACTTTCTCGCGCGTATCCTTTTCCTCTCTCTCCGCCCCCCCCCCCATCCCTCCTCCGCTTCCCCCCGTCTTCCGCATTCGGTGCTCCCCGCGCCCCAAGCATCGCCCCCCTGACTTCGCCACGTCCTCCGCCCGTTATTGCCCCCACTTCCGCCTCCCCTTCTTATGATTTTGCGTATTCCCATGCCATCAACTGTAAACGCAGCATGGCGAATCTCCTCTAACGCGTATTCCCCTCCCGTCTCCCTCCCAGCTAATTCTGTAGAAACTCCGGTTCCGCGATTCCGTTTGGCACCATAACTGCTCGTTAACGTGCGACCCATTCAACGGCGCGGATCAATCCTTGGAACCAGGCGGCATCATCCAACGGTGCTGGTGGACTCTTGGAATCAGGCAGCGCAATCCAATGGTGGCATCGCATGCGGGTAGCGATGCGCACAAGTAACGTCGCTTATAAATCGCGTCGCTTACGGGTAGCTTCGCACGCGGATACCGGCACGGGGACTTGTGAGTCCTCCAAATGGCTAGGTGCTAGCCGAATGTCTGATAGCGTATAGCAGGGTTTAGGGTGAGGAAATGAGAATCGAATGGTGCTTGGTGTGGGATATACGTGGGATAAGGCTCTGCCTCGTCTGAAGTCAGAGTTTGGTTCGAAATCCAGTCTGTGAAAGCAAAAGGAAGGATCTAGATAATATGGATAACTCAGACATCGACCGCTGAAATTCCAACCGAGCCGTCACTTCTGATCGTAGCTGTTAAAACCAGGGTGCACATTCAATTGGATTTCTGTCAAAGGTTAACCTTTGACCTCGGGGTTACTCAGTGATTTAGGAATATCTGGGGGGAGTGTTCGCTTCAGCAGGTGAACATTTGAACCCTCGAGATTTGGCAAATGTATACCGAAGTCATCGAATGTGCTTCCGCCAATTCGTTTCCCCCCTCCCCATACCTATTCCGCTCCCACCGAAATTGTTTCCCCTTCCCCCACAATATCGTCTCACCCCCTTTCCCCTTTCCGCCAACCCAGTTGCCCTCCCCTTGATCCCCAATTTCTAGATCCAAGTGTTATCAATTTCTCCCCTCCCAAGCCTCATCTCTCACGGACGAAAAGCCCCATGCTCGCCCATTCTCAACTATTTATTCGCTACTCGTCAACCAATCAGCAGTTCCCGCAAACATGCCGCCCAAAATTTAGCCTGGAGTCGCGTTGAATGTGTACCCTGGTTTTAACATCTGAAATATCGACGGCTGGAAAGCCAGATTTCAATTTCGCTGAAACTGTTTTCCGAGAGAGAATTGCTCCAGGGCCTTGTTTGGTGATTCGCTCTTGCCCACGTGTCCCCGAATTACTCGCGTTGCCATCCAATTCGGTGATAATTGCTCGAGTGGCCATGCCAGGGCATTTTCGAGGTGTTTTTTTCCCTCGCACATTACCCTACAAGGATTCGTACCCCCGAAATTCCTCGTTCGCACAACAGTAGATGCGCGGTCATTTTCGGCCCAATGCGCGACCAATGAGCGCGTGGGCAAATACATCAGCGATCATAAACTGCAACGCTAAAGCATAAATGCACGAACATATTATTGACCGCGCATGATTGGTTGATAATATGTTTCTTGCCCTTTTTGGCAATGCGCGCCCAATCACGCACGGTCATATAATTCACGACCATATATTTAGGCGATAAAGGGTCGCCCAACAACCAATATGAGCGCGCATATACTACCATTAGTTCTATCATATGTTCGGTCCATATAAAACCATGCATATCAAATGCCATAAATATATTCTCTGCTATTAATTTAAGCTCATCATAACCTTGGTGGCAGCATATTTATGCTGGGCTTAAATTAATATTATGCTGCCCAAATTATTATTTCTGCAACCATATTACCCGCAATACAATATTATGGACCACGGTATGATGGGCTTAAATTAATATTATGATGGGCCGCGATACAATATTATGTATAGTATTATGGGCTTAAATGGATAGCAGAGAATATATTTATGGCATTTGATATACATGGTTTTAGCCGATCAATCGTGATCGTACAGCCGTGTGAAGATAAGCAGTAGAAGAAGGCGCCATAGCTAGGAAAGCCCTAGCTAGGCAAGAAACAGTTTAGGCAAAGAGGGGGTTCACTAGCAGGAATGAGGATACAAATAGCAAACCCTAGAAGGGTTGTACTCGCTATAAAGCACCCCACTACAGGCTAGAGCATAACATTCTGACACACCCCCATAGCCAAAGTGGGGTGTAATCAGCAGAGCAAGCAAAGCAGAACAAGCTCAGGGTGGATCACAATGTCACCACACATTCTGAGCACAAGTACAAGAAGCAATAGTTTAAAGTTCACAATTATGAGCAAAGCTAGAGGCTATCGCAGAGGGCAAGTGAGGAGGAGGAGGCGAGACTGTAAGAGGAGAGGAGATAGGAGGCGACGACTGAAGCTGCAGACACACGGGCAACAGGAGGCACACTGGCACAGCGGCTACCGGAACAGCGCTCCGGACTACTGGAGTAACTGGCCCCGCGGCTAAAAGTAGCGGCAGACGAGCAACGGACCCACGGGCGACTGGCACAGGTGGCTGCGACTGGGCTACCAGAGCAACTCCCCAGACTACAGGTGCTGCTGGCGACACGACGGCAACCTTCGTTCAACCTCCCCAAACAGTCCCACCCCCCCTGACACACACCCCCTGCTTCACCCCTAGCTCCACTCCCCCTTCACCCCCCTTAGTACCACTCCGACGGCTCCAACAGGTCCACCCCCCTCAGCGGCAGCTGCAGCACTGGGAGACGGAGGAGGAGGAGGAGGAGTAGGGGACGGCACACAGAAGCTGCACCCCCATGCCCCCCACCCCCAAACCCTAATTCAGGAGAACGGGCAGTAGCAGGGGTGGGGCGCCATCAGAAGCACGGGGGACAGCGGGCAGTGCGGGGGCAGCGAAGAACGGGCCGCCCACGGGCCTGGCACAGCCGCCCGAACCGCGCGCAGGCGGCCCGAGCCGCGCGCGGGCCTGTCGCAGCCCGTACGGGCCGCGCGCGGGCCTGGCGCAGCCCGTACTGGCCGCGCGCGGGCCTGGCGCAGCCCGTACGGGCCGCGCGCAGGGTGTACGGGCCGCGCACAGGCCACGGCGGGTGACAGGGGGCGACGCGCGGGTCCCCGTCGCCCGTCGCAGCGCCTCCCGGGAGCGACGCGCTGCGAGACGGGGCAGAAACCCGCCGCGCGCCTCGGGGCGCACGGCGGGCAGAGAACCGCCGCGCGCCTCGGGGCGCACGACGGGCAGAAAACCGCCGCGCGCCTCGGGGTGCACGGCGGGCAGAAAACCGCCGCACGCTCCGAGCGCGTGGCGGGATGAAAAATCCGTTGCACGCCACGGGGCGTGCAACACAGAGAGTAGCAGTAGCAGCGGAAGCAGTGAGGTGGGGCCCACAGGCCAGGAGCATATCGCTCTGATACCATGTGGAGATAAGCAGTAGAAGAAGGCGCCATAGCTAGGAAAGCCCTAGCTAGGCAAGAAACAGTTTAGGCAAAGAGGGGGTTCACTAGCAGGAATGAGGATACAAATAGCAAACCCTAGAAGGGTTGTACTCGCTATAGAGCACCCCACTACAGGCTAGAGCATAACATTCTGACAAGCCGATCCCCTCGACGGTTGTCATTCCAACCTGGAAACCATATCTGAGGTATAATCCTGACCGTTCTTATCAATTCTCATCGACGGTCCATTTTCCAACCTGCATCAAATTTGCCAATGGCCATGTTCCCCTCTCCCCCTCCTACCTAGTCAGCAACGAGAGGCAGACTACCAAGCTGACGCAGTCAAGTACACGAGTTGCCCCATTATGCCAAAGTAGCAAAATACACGCTGGAATCCTTTCATTGCTGTACTGTAGCGGGGTGCACATCCCTCCCTCAAGTCGGGCTTGCATGCTGGACGCATGGTAGGTTCGTACGCTGGTTCCTCAGAACAATTTTAATCATGATTGCACGCGTTCACGCTGAGCGCCTCCATCGTCTGAATCTGCTGAATTGTTTCGAGCTTCGTAGGGACCGTGTCGCGACCCCCACAGCAAGATTGAGTTGGGAGTGCAGCGACGGCCCTTTTCTTATACTCGTCCGAGACTTCTTTCCTGCATTATCGTCAGTGGCAACCACTGCA